CAAAAGGATGAATAGTAGTTGGAAACAACAGGAAAGGATTGTACAGGACAGATCTCGATGGGGAATGCTGTTTGGCGGTCTATGCTACTACATCAGAAGTAACAGGAGTAAATAAGTATGTAGTAGACTTTAATACATTGATTAATATGCCAAAAAGGAAAACTCAGTTTAACGTAAATATGAGATTCGCTTTTCGTTTGACACTTAAAATGGACTGTAATGTAATTACCAATCTCAGTTTTAAGTTCAACTATTTCCGGTTATATTCTGTAATTCAGAAAGATGCATAAGTTTACGAATAGAAATGTTAGTTTGAAGTATTTTTCATGTAATACTTATGTTCTGTGATTTGTTCACAATCTTGAATGGCTGTTTAAAGGTAACTCTATATTTTTCGACGATTTATTGACCTTGAAATTATAAATTTCACAGTAAGTTCACTACACGCATGAATATTAGATAGTGCAAAATTTGAGCAGAACAGAAACAGTTTGAATCTAGTGGTTCAATATCTGTACCCAAAAGTGTTCGTGATTTATTTTAAGGAGTTATGATAATGAGTTCCAAAATTACTTACCATAATTTGTGGATCTATTCTACATTTCGAGCTACTTAATTGAAGATATTAATCTATATTACTTTGCTAGTACATGTACATTATAAAGTATTTGACTTGATGCTGTTATACCTGCTTTCTTCCGTCAAATGTTTTGATAATTGCAATGCTTTCTAAAAAATATTCGTGAATATGAAATGTATTTGGCATCATGTATATGAAAATTGAATATTATGCTCGATATTTAGATCTTATTCTTGTTGGATGTTGTGTTACCTTTAGAAAATAAATTACAATTTACCGTATGTTTTGGTGACTTTAGTTTTGAGCCTAATTTTCCATATATTTATACCTCGTTACTTCAGAGTTGTAAAGTTATATTTTGAATTAAATTTATTAAGGATATTGAGATCAATTTTTAGTTTTCATGAGCCTGGTCATTTTTCACTCCCATTTAAACAATCGTTCACAGATCTACAAATACAGTTAATATCTCATTTTGAAAATATTTCATTGAAAAGGGGTATAAATTTAGATGTATTTTATCCACAATCTAAAAAATCGTTTTACAGACAGCGAAATACGTGCAAATAGTCTCAAAGCAAAATAAAGTTACATACAATTTTCCTCATTTATAAACTTGAATAAAGAAAGAACAAATATCGTAGGATAGTAACATGAATTCGTTTACGTTATGGATTCTACTCAAATACTTAAAACCCAAAACCATAGTATTAATCGATAAAACGAAACAAGTGTACATACTTTGTCTAGAAAACATTAAGTTGATGTATGGAGACAAAATAATATTAAGAGATAAAATTATGGAAGATTTAATACTCTTCAAACGTTCACTTATTTATAGATTTATCAGTTCATATATACGTTCCAAACACATAAATCAGGGGAACGGAAATGAGGGTTTGTGTCCGCATCTTCGAACATATTCCAACAAAGTTGAGACTAAACGAATAGAAGATTTTCAACAGTGCAACTACCTGATATTGGACATGTTTGTAGTGACCGGCTGGTCTCGATAAGAACACGATTGGAATAAAAGAAACAATTATTATTATCATAACCAATTGTACCAGTGATTGTTTCACTGTACTTGTTTAACTGCATCAGACTCACTTCTTGTTCCGCTATCCGCCTTGTTCGATTCGAACTTTCCTACACTCTGACCATTTTGCCTGTACCCGTTGGCACGTCTCGGTATTTTATCGATACCACGAGATCGCCAATAAATATACTTGATCTGGACTAATTAAAGCCTTCCGATTTACGAGTTATCAAAGGAACCAAGTCGTTTCTGGGCACGTAATCATATAGTAGTAGTGATCATAGTCCGTCCTCGACTCGACCCTACTACATGTTACTGAAGTTTCAAAATCCTCCAAAATATTCAATTAACGAAAGAATTCACAAATGTTACACTTCACAGAAGCTGTGGCAATAAAAAGATTAAAAACCAACTTATGCATCTAGAAGGCAACAGTTGTTAATTTTTTATTTTCCCTGGTGACCTGATTTTCGTGTGACCATAAGGCAAGACGTTTTTTTCACAAACTTTAATCACAATTTCTAAGATCCTAATTCTTGCTTCTGAGCTTTACACAGCTAGTCTATGTTACATGATCTATCTTCGATTTTAGGAAACAATATCTGTTTCCATACTTTTTTAGAATATTCACTATCTAACTTAACTAATGTGAACGTTTGATGAGTATTAAATCTTCCATAATTTTATCTCTTAATATTATTTTGTCTCCACACATCAACTTAATGTTTTCTAGACAAAGTATGTACACTTGTTTCGTTTTATCGATTAATACTATGGTTTTGGGTTTTAAGTATTTGAGTAGAATCCATAACGTAAACGAATTCATGTTACTATCCTACGATATTTGTTTTTTTATTCAAGTAAAGTTAGTTATTAAAGTACAAATGACTGTTTTGTTTTATCAGTCTTAATCAGAAGTTTCTATTTTCGTCTATCGATTTTCCTAAGGTGTATTCATCATATGTTATATTTATCAGCTTTCGCAGAAGTGAGCAAAGATGCAGACAGATGGAGCAGGTAATTATTGATTAGCTCCTTTCTCCCTTCTTCATCTAAAGATTTAGATTATTTCATATATGAATGGACTTGCATAATTGAAATGTCTTTATTTTAGCGTTAATAACTATAGACTGGTAGACAATCTAGTAGTTTCTGGAGTTACACATGTGTACACTTTTAATTAAACTCATTTAACTAATCATTTTAATTTTATTTTTCTCTTTCTAAATAAATCCCATTTCTTAAGCAAATGAAGTCTTTAATTTTTAGCTTTGATAATTAATCTGTGTTTTACAATTTTGTTTAAATTTCTCTTGAAAAAAACCAATGTTTCATTACTGAAATGTGAAATGCATGGCCGATAAACTGATCTGATATTAAAGTATCTTCTAATAGTGTTATAATTGTATTTTGCTAATAAACGACCCAGCTATTCCTATTGCTTAGTATCCTTATACAATGACACTTGACAAGACCCCAAAATCAGAACACTTTGAACAGGAATGAAATTGTATTCAAAATAATAATGGTAATTGAACAGCAATCACTGATTTGAATAACGTTCATATATTTATAGTATATACATAAGAAGCTTCTAGATTTTTCTCCAATAATTTGCCCGGGCTGATCGGTTTAGAATTAGCCAATCAGCGCGCAGCAACACCATCATGCATGAAACATACTTTAATCCAATCTACGTCCCGCTAACAAATAGATAATGTAACTCAATACTAATGATAAAAAATAAACTTGTTACATTTTTACCCATACTGTGTAAAGACTTATAAGAACTTTCGTCTAAATTAGAGTGAATAGTTTCACAGTATTAGTGCGCCGAGTTGAAAAGCTTGGACCAGATTGCCAGGCGAAATGTTGGATTTACTTCAAATTCATTCGCTGAGATTTTACAAATATGTTATTCCTATTTAATGCCTGTGTAAAGATGCTCTGATTAATTATTGTACCGGTGTTCAATGCACTCTATTTCATCGTTTAATGTGAAAAAAGGTAATATGCTATTAATATTATAGAATTTTAAAGTAATTGGAGAATAAAAATACCTGCATAGCATGTAAATTATGCTCTCTTTTAAAGGATATTCAATAAAATATATATCCGTTAGTCTCTGAACTACGTATACATGTATTTACACAACATTTACAATTCTGTTCTATGAAAGTGACATTCGTATAACAAGCGGTGATGATGATTATGAAATCCCGTAATGTTCAATAGTTTTTGTGTCTTATCAACTTATCAACTTACAAAAGTTTACTAAATTTAAAACAACAGTTTCTAAAGGTAGAATTTACAAATTTATTACCCAATAACTTATTTGTTAAAAATGAAATGTTTTTATTATCTATTTTGAAACTCATTACAACAACAACAACAACAGCTATGTAACATAGTTGTAACTAATAAAGTCAAATAACAAAAGTGTTTGTAATCCAATAGGTCGTACTGGTGAGAAGAAACTAGTAAAGCAGTTGCTGAAACAGCCTTTTTTTAATTTGTAGGTAATCCTGAAGAGGAATATTCCAGAATTGTTTCCTACAGTTTCTTAAGTAATACTGAATTAGAGGAAAAGAAACCTAATTCATATTTTTCATATGTATTTTAAATAGAATTATGAGTGGTCAGTATTTAAGTCACACAGACCAGGAAGCCAAATAATTGCTTTTTACAAAAAATTAAATATCATCTATCTTATGTTTTTATCATCAGGTAGTTCAATAAGTATAATCATAAACGTCAATTATTATATATATAGGTCTACATATTCTCTCTATTGATAGATATTCTATGAATGATTTGATTGTAATTTATAGTCGTATTACTTAAATATATACTAAAACATTCTTTTCGTGACGACGTGTCAACAGTGATAGCTGCTGAATTTTTATTTCAATAAGAACAATTATACATGTGTTGGCTGGTATGAATCTTGGTAAATAATTGAAATAATTGATCATAATACCATGCGTGTCATGTTGTTTAGCTTATTTGGCTGGAAGACCTAAATTTACTATGCTTATAAATGTCATTGAAAACCATAATTATAATAAAACAAATACACTCATTGATTACACTTTGTGACTATATTACACATTAATAAGCTAACATAAATATGATCATGTGTTCATTAGTGATTCGGATTTTATTTTTATAGCATTTGTGCATGTACTAGTGAAAGCAGTAACACTCTTACATACAATGTGTTGAGAGTATATATATAGGATTAATCAGTTTGGTTTTCTATACTAAAAAAACTTAAAATCTTTGACGTGAACAATTAAAGTATCTCGGCAATAAATATCGACTAATTCTCTATATTCTTTTAAAATAATAAATCAATTCAAATAAACAAGTCAATCTACTATGCCAAGAGTAATTAAACGACTCCCGGAAGTTGAGGATTTTGAGAGATGTCATCATAGGCAAGTGTTGGTTAACGCGTTTCTCGAAGTAAGTTCACCTTACGAAATTGGAATTTTATTGTAATGCCCATTTTTACATTTTTTTCGCTTATAGGTATCATTACCAAGTTTTGATTTGATAATTTCCAATAAATTGAGCATTGGGTAGATTGTTATAAATAAGTAATATATTTGTAATATCCCAATGAGTAGACAAATGAGATTTCCTACTGATTGGTATTACAAATAAATTATTTATTTATCTCTTCCCTTATTTATTAATATAAACAGTTGAAATTTTAGTGATTTATTTGTTCATTGAGGACTGGAATAATTGATTCTTCCTTGGCACATAAAGTCCTTTGGATGACTGAGTTGATAATGCCATCAGCTAACCAATGATTAACTTTTGTATGATGAATACATATTTCAATCAGATCTGAAATAGTGCCGATTTGCAGCTCCTTGAAATATCGAGGTATCAGCCCATGGAGTTCATATTTGCTGAAAGGGAATATAAATATATGACTCTTAATATTAACAATGGGAAAGTACAAGCAGAGGTGGATAGAGCTATTCTTATTAGAAAATTACTTTTTATTGTCATTTATAAATAGGTTAGTCGATCTGCTTTTATTTAGACAAAATTCACTTGAATTTCAAAATTCAGAAATTATCGTCACACATTTTTGCAAAAATGTTTGTTGTTCCGTGAAGCCACTAATTAATAATCTGGACCGTGTTCGTAAGTATAGACTACGTGGTTGAGGTCTGCATGGTGATCGTATCTAATGATTGAATACAATCTCTGACGTAAACTGAGGTCTGTCATTGTGTGGTAAATCCATATTTTATTTTTTCTGCATAGAACGTCAGTTCCGAAGATATCTTATAATTTATAGTTTCCTGAGTTCACTCTTGCTTTCTGAATCAAACTGTCAATATCTAATTTTCTCAGCTACCATTGTCACCGTTAAGAATTCTACTCCTTTAGAATTAATCTTAATAATTTCACCTTGTTGTGCACATGTGGTGTGACAAATCGAATAGATATAAGTAGTTGACACATTCTACGTTGTTTATGACTGGCTGGTGGTTTGTTTTGTGTCTTTTGACAAATAATGTCTAGGGCATCTGCATGCCACACGTTTTGATAATTATAAGTATTCAGTTCATTTTATATTTATCGTATAAGACGTCGAAATCGTAGGGTTATTTGACTTGATTAGCGATTATAAGGAAAATTTAATAACAACGTTTGTATAAACAACTAGGAGTGAAATTTACAACAGCAAACTTCAGTCTCCATTTTTCAGTTATTGTTAATTCAGTGTATAGCCAAGTCTATTAATAGTGTTTTGATCCAAACAAAGATAAAATGATCCATTACTAAGTGATGGTAGTATTAAATGCTTATCTATCAAGTTGGTCTGAAGTTCCACTTAAATTATTGATAATTACCGAAACAAACCCCGCTGCCATATTCAGTCAAGGATTGGTAAAAATCCGTTTCATTTCGTTACATCAATATTTAAAATCAAAATAACACTATATCAGTTATCAGTAAGTGACCAATTGCTGCTGACATTACTGATCTACAGAGATTACAAACTGAATAACGTACCGGTAATATATCTAATTGTGACTTTAAATGATGAGGGTTAGAACAGCATGGAAAACGTTAATCTTCACAGTATCTAATATATTTCCTACATATGACAGTCAACTATTACGTAATCTAGATTTTAAACAAATAACCTCAGTATTATATCTTATCGTTTGGGTATTAAGCTTATGTTTTGATCAAATTATTGATGAGATGAAGGTCATTTAAGGCTATATTCTTTTCAATTTCATCCTTCTAAAGATATATTGAATAACGTCTAAAGATATATTCATGAGCACCAGTGAAAATTATAGTAATGGTATTTTTAAAGTTGTACACACCAGAAAATAATAAAACTCTTCAGATTCCTGAATAGATACAATCACAAGATTATAGGGAACTGTTGTTATATTACTCACTGATATACTTACACGTGTAGCCCTTCGTGGAACATAGGCTGCCGACCATGCTTCTCCAACCAACTCTAACCATGAACTCTCCTTACTAGTTTTTCCCAAGTGCTATACACTCTCTTGATGTCTGCCACACATTCCCGACTGAATATGTTCTTTGGCCTGACTATCATTCCATTTTCTTTGAAATTCCATGTTAAGGCTTCCTTTGGGATTCATTTTTATGATTTACACAATGTGTGCCCTATCCATATATATAATGCCGTTTTAACTGTATCCAGCATCTATAGTATTGTCCTACTCAATTTACATTCTAACAAATGAATGACAAATAGGTTTGTTATGTAAAATTTCATACTACTCTCACTGTTATTATAAATTTGTTATTCATATTTCGTGCTATTCAAAACGTATAGTTTGTAAATCTAAAATCATGTAAAAACTGTGTTTAATGGAGTAAGATACATGTAGATAATTTTCGTTTTAGAAATCTATGCATTTATTAAATCCAAACCTACAAATACCAAATGGATATGCTACAAGAATGAATAATAAACCTTCAACAACTTTGAATAGTCAGACAATGTAAGTTGTCTCGTTATTATCTCTTCATTATCTAGGACAAATGATTTGTAAACCTAATCACTTGATAAGATTTGTTAATATTTACGTAATACATTGTTATTTTTGAAAATTCACTTATAAATATCTATAACTAATTGTGATCTTCGTTAATTAAGTTGAATTTATACTTACATCATTATTCTTCATGGTTATTTAAATATTTGTTGCCGTTCCTATAAGATTTAGGGTGTTATATCCTAGGGAAAAAGTAAGTACGGATAACTTACGGGACCTATTATTGGACTATTACTCTATATATATTCCTATTGTATGACTATTCAGTAACTAGATTATGTATATCTATATTCATCTTATCATAAGCTCCATTTTGATCTATTGATTATTATTACACGATTTACTGTTCCTAAACTATACTCAGTTTATTGATTACTGTCTCCCGCGTTCACAGCCACATTTAACTTGATTTTGTACAAACATTATTTTCTATTTTATGGTGTGATGTGGTCTGCCTATCTGGTATATTAACAGAATTTGTTTGAAATAAACGATTCGCATAACAGAAGCTGTCGTTGGTGTTCTGGACTCAAGTGGAAGGGCTAGGCGGATAGAGGACCAGTAAAGACGCTAGATTACTCATACTGATCGAACGTCATTGATTGTCACAGTGTGAAGGTCGTAGAAGTCGTATTTCGATTGGTGGATTGTTCACTTGAATAAAAGCCGTACACAAAAACCAATAACGAATTAGGATACGTCCTTTGTTTATTTTGTAGAGTCACAACAAATTGGCGACGGCCTTGGTCAAGACATAACATAGGGGTTCAATACGCGTACAATGATCCTTTGTCTGATATAGAAATATGTAGTAAATACATAAAACGTTTATTAGTACTTTATAATAATGATAGGAACTTATTGACTTTAACACCTACCTACCAATTTCAACAATTTTTTTCAATTACAATATTGTCACTTCAGTTGTTCATTACACAAGGGAAAAATTATTCATGCATCAGAAACTAAATGAGAAAGTGTACGATATAAAGGTATGATTTTTTAAAAGCCATTTTCTGAACATCATATTTACATGAATGTGACAATATTCTCCAGCAACTTTTGTGTTATCTTTCAGCTTTGTAACTTATGATAATTAAAATCATTTTACCGCGGACAACCCTATGCAAACATTATTGTGATTTTTTTGTAGAATAGTAACTGAATAATTCATATTTACGCATGATACTTTTTAACTTTTAAGAAATTTAATCAATCTATGTGATACTGACAGATTTCAGTAGATTTACAACGAAGCTGAATGATTTTTAGAAATGGATGTTGATTTCAGGTATCTCAAACATGCACACATCTTCCTATGAAGCAATAAACTGAAAATATATTTCAAAACCACATCTCACAAAGGATAGGTGTATTGGTTTTACATGTAGCAAATATACTAATAAGCATCATGTCATATTTATCACAGATTAAGTTGTGTACGAATTGTACTTAAGCAATTTTTATGATATAAGACTTATTTATCACTCAACTAATTGACTCGATGTTTGAAAAAACAGGACCACCTCATTGTTTTTCCCTAAAACATTAATGTTCTCTACTGTTTTATACGTAATTATCATTTAGCGTACATCATATTTGATACCAGTTATTGATATCTAATTAAATCTGTAAAATTACTTGTATTCAAATTATATATTGACAGTTTACATACAATAGATTTTAGTACGCTTTTACATTATCCGTTATAGATTTTATAGCTCCATGTTATATCATGATTTTCATCATGCTTATTATCTTATTTTGCAGGGCACAAAAAGAAATTGATTGCATAAAACAATTCGAAAGACAGCTTCCACCAGAATATCCATGCATTACAATATATTTTTCTGATATGGATTGTGATCTAGAAAGGAAATGTATACTGTATATTGTAAAAAGATGGCATCGGGACGATCCATTCGTTAGTATGTCACCATTTTTGAATGAATTAGAAAGAGACTATGGTGGAGGATGGAAATTTGAACGAGTTACTAATCCAATTAAAGTTGGCCGTATAAGTACTTCAATAAAGCCGAAATCAACCTTTTGTTTTCGCTATGAACCAGATTGTTATATTTATAAGTTTTATAGGGATGAAGAAATTGAACGACAAAGGTTCATTTGAAACAACGCAAAGTGATAGGAAACTTCAATACCTGTTGTTTTGCTTCATGTAATGTATGAAGTCTTGTAACAATATGTTCTTTGTTTTGCTTTTATTACGGAAACGATGTAGTGTGGATTCATGAATGAAGAAGTTGTTTGATACATTTTATCACATTATTCGCTTCTGATAAATAATTTTACTCTTAAATGATAAGTCACTTTGAAAATGTTGTTGAACGCTTGCATTTATAGCTAAATGATTTTTAGTCAGTATAAGATAGTATCCAGTCCTTCAGTTTTGATGGAAACAATTTAGGTGCACGTGACAAAGAAATTTCTTTTTATTCAATGTCGTGTTGTGTTGTACTTAAAAATGCTTCAATCAAAGATGTTATACGATTCAATGACATGATCCTTGAAATTTAGTATTCATGATAAATATATCAACTACAGCAGTAAAAATGTTTTGAACCTATAAAAATCCAGAGAGCTGATACTGTCAAATGTTTTACAAGGTGGTTGTTCCATGAATAATAAATCTAAATACAATACAGAAGCATTGACCTAGTATTTTGTTTATCAAAGTGTGTTCCGGTTCTGCATGTCTGCTTTCCTGAGTCTGAGGATATTTGGCTGCAGACACATGGATGGTTTTTGTCACCATAATAATAGTACCGGTTTATAACTCACAACCATTATTCATCAGTGTTCAGCCTCCAAACATACTAACTATTCCGCTGCCTAAAAATTGAAAATTATGATAATACTAGGAACAAAAGCTAAACTTAGACTACCAAGCAAATAAATGGGACTGTACTCCATCAAATGAATTAAACAACTTATAAAGTTCAATACGTTCTTTGTCAAATATTTTATATTAATTCAGATATATAGAATCAAATGGAAAGGATCAATATTTAAGTCTTCCGATACACAAACAGGAAAACAATAAATTACGGTTGAAAATTGTTAACATATCACATGTTAAGTAATCACACAATCAAATTTTCTTTAAAAAAATGCAATGATTAAGTTTGTTTTGGATACAATATTTTTAAAATAGAAAAATGGAACCAGAAAATGGACCACCTAGTTAAATATGGAATCTTAAAGTACAATGATCGATCTTACAAAGGATTATTATAAATATTAAAGAAGTTAGAAGACAAATTATTCAATCACTATATTGTATTTATTTTGCAGTTATATTCACCTTCTATGTTAGTTTTTTGATATCAGTAAGAACTCATGAGTAATAAATACTTAACAGCCTTAGAGATTAAAAATAAATGAATAAGATTAATACAAATAAAACAATTAAAAAAACTCGAATTAAGCTATTTTATAATTCAGTTTATACATTAGTTTAGAGATAAGGCTTATGACATTTCTCAGTATATTACTAATATTCTTTGGTAAATTATTAAGTGAATGATACAGTATTTTACTTTGTTCGAATAATAAATTCAGCATTGAAGAATTCAGCGTATATCTCTATTCCATCATCTAAAAATCCTGAAGGTAAATAAGTAATCAACTGCGGTGTTTCGTGGTCATTTTGAGTAGTGAGGAAATAGTTTTATAGTGAACTGTTATCACCCGATGAACTTATTAAAACCCAGGATAGTTGAACTGTTGTTATGTCCTAACTTAAAACTGGTCAAATGAATCCACTCGAACACTCCGTTTTCGTCCTTTACTCTTAAAACACACTAAGATAATCGAATTTAAATTAGGCACTAACTATTTCAAATATTTGACAGATTAAAGAATAGAATCTTATTACTCTTGAAGATCTCATTAGATAAGTAGAGAAATGTGTCGACTTGAAAACACTCTGTTCCTTGTAAACTAGATAAAATGAGAATGCACAATAATTTTTGAGCACTAAAGCATTCGCTGAGATTTTACAAATATATTATTCCTATTTAATGTCTTACTTCAACTCGGCGCTCAAATACTGTGAAACTATTCGTTCTAATTTAGACGAGAGTTCTTATATCTAAAGCAAAGTGAGTTGGAGATTTTTATACTTCACGTTAAATTTAGTATATTTTCGTCCATAACTTATTGACAAAAGAATAATGTACTGAGTTTCAGTAGAATTAGTTCAAATTACACAAAACAAACTAATATAATCGTCTGTTGAAAAAATACTCCAGTATGTTTCTTGAAAATCCTGAAATACTTCATTCAAAAAGCTGCACAAACGGGACTACAGATCTGTGGCGTTAAGTAATACAATTAAACACACATTTTATTAACTTTTCGTGTTATTCAAATTTATGGGTTAAATTCATGACCGTATTTCGATAATTGCTACAAGGATAATCATGGAACACGAAACAGTTGCAGAAACTAAGCGCATTAAAGTAAATAATGATATTGTCATTCAATCATAAGACTTTATAGAGCTTCATTCAGCAAACATTTTACATTGGAATGGTGCCCTGTACTGTACTCTCAAAAACAAGAAAAAAGCAAATAGTTTTGTTACTGAGATTTCATACTAAACAATGAGTGAAAATACTTGTATCCAGCTCCATTTCTAAAATGTATACTTCTTTAAGTAAGCACTTTTAATGCAATGCATTTTAATTAGATTTCGATTAAACATTGTAGATTATTCTAAGACATTTAAAAAACAGTTGTTACCTTGCTTCTCAGTGACTGAATAGTCGCACAATAAGTTTTTGAATAAAACAAACAAAAATACATCCTAAATTCTATGGGACTTCTAATAAGAGCAGACATACAGCGTGACCTTGAAACTACAAATTGATGCCAATCATGACTACAAGTACGATTTCGAAAATCAAAACTTTTAAAAGATAATTATAGAAGTATTAGTAATCCAACATGAATTGCACAATTAAATTTCATTATCTTCATTTCCACAACTTAGTTCATGTTTAATTGAATGAATAAAAAACATCATCTCTTCAATTAGTTTATGCTAACTAGATTTAAGAACATTTGAATTTGTAAGGATTCTTAATTTAGTAAAATTGTGTGATCTATATGTGAGAGAATATATTTTGTTTACTTACAATTTTCTGAATAATAGGTATTTCATCAATTAAGGAAGATGAAGGATTCTCTGTAATGTATTACTGTAAATAGAGTAATTAGAATACCTGAGAGTTATTGAACAAACATAGAACAGTACAATAAAGTAAATGTTTGATATGAATGCGAGCCGTTTATATGCATCTCAAGAATGTACTGAATTATAGTGTCTGAAACGTTATTCTAGTAGGGGATCACTGATATCGTCAAGCGGGGAGTGCTTCCATCTCGACTTTATAAGAAATCCTCATTTGAGAAAAACTCTGGGGATTTTTAAAAATATCTAACTCATCCACATAGAAGAACTTTGAACTACAGAAAAAAGTCAAAGGACAAATGAATAAGTGAGTTCTTGAAATCTCTGCGCCCTTGTATGACGACAATTTATTTTATCACAATGCTAAAGTTGTGTAGATCTAACTTTTCTCTCTTCTCGGAATAGAATAGTTAGAGCCCATAAGAACAGTCCATCATTCCGTAATCAGTCAAATTATTATAAGCTGACTGGACAGTTGTGCTCATTTATTAAATAGTGTATACCTAGGCCACGAAGCATTGTATTAGTTCTTTCATTTGATTTTCACAAAAAATAACTTAGACAATCGAAAGATCTTTTCTAAGGAATAATGTAAACATATTTTAGTGAGCGAAGATTTGATGAGGATAATGCAGTATTGCAGAGTACCTTCGTAAAATATGAAACTATACATTAAATACATTATTTGCACATGTTCTTTCAGTTGGTGTTTACACGCTCCATGATTGCTTCAGTTCTGTTTTTTTTACAATTACCCACTTTTTATATTCCTGTTCTCTTCAATTTGAACTTCTTAATCTTCTGCTGTCAGACATTTCACTTCTGATTAGTGTTACATACTACATACATCTGCCAACATAAGTAGCATCCACTACAATATCATCTCCCTGTTCTTACCAAGTAAAAGTGTAGAATCAATATAAGTGAAAGTCGCTGGTAACAATATAAACCATTCATATTAGAAGTTTGAAATAATAAACCTTACAGTCGACAACTTGTTTTTGCATTCAAAAACAATTTTGCTTCATAATGTCTATTAATATTGTTATTCACATCTGTATAACAACGTATACTGATTTCCCGTACGTGTGAAATAATTGAAATTTGAAACATACGTTCTAAGCATATATATATATATAAAGCTTGCTGATCCAATTTTAAGAAGTTCTGCTTTTAATTATTATTTAATAGAAATGTATGAATTCGCGGTTTGTTTGCTAACAGTTGAAGAGAATGTCTCTGACATGGTAAAGATTTGTGGCTCCAGTGGATAATTTTCTAAAAATTTAGTCCTTTCAACCATCCAGCTTAGAGAAGAAACGTTTCTTTTAATTATTTGATGAACGCTTGAAAATCAGTCAGACAAGAACTATTTGCATGTATTACTCAGTGAAAAATGGAGTATCTATTTACTTTTATTGATAAACTCGTTAATTCATTTCTTGTTAAGAAGCTAGAGTGTGAGATGTATGTTGGTGCTCTTGCAAAGACATTGAAGAGGTGATCATTTAATAATTCATCGAAACACTTAAATGCTTCAATCAAATAACTGATAAACTAATAAGTACCATCATAGTTATTGAGATACACATCGATAATGCAAATAATGAATTCTTACTTTTATCACAAATGAGTGTAATTTTTTGTAATTGCCATTTCACCTTAACATGATTCACATGTAGATTCTTTTTTCAGTTATCTCTAAGGCATTTGGGAGTGACATCAATCAAATAACCGAAAAATTGATGGATCAATTTTATTTTATAGTTATTTTTCTAATCAATATGTAACCTGTCAAACACTAATACAGTTTTTTTTAATTAGGATTCATCTAAAATTGTATTTCATTCTGATTAGACATTGAATCAAATCAGTTAAATTTTGCAGTCAATGATAAAATTTGTTGAATAAGT